AAATTTTAGGGCAAGGTTTGTCTCGATGACGCACACATTTTGATATAAAATTTTTCCAGAGATGATGAGCAGATGACGAGAATTCATGGAGAGAAGTTTGACTCGAATTGAATGGTTTGAAAAGAGAAAATGGTGTTTGGTTAAGTGGGCATAACATCGGATTGTCATGAAAATGAATGTGTTGCAATCGTGGGATGAAGACGAACAATATGAGGTAAAATTCAAGGGAGATGAAGGGCCAAATTGAGCACTATTTAAAAATGAAAATGACACATTTTGTGGCCGCCGAAATTCCATTTTCTGGTGACTTTCCAATTGGGAACAAGTTCAAATGATGATCAATTTTAACGATTTTTGTCACAAAATGATCATGATGCGATCCTATCCAAGTTGTGATGAAGAAATTTGTTAGAAACACGACGGATTGGTCTACACAAATAATTGAAAGTTTATATGTTCTTCAAAGTGGCCGGAATTTTTATTGTCGTCAAAAAGTACGATTTGGGTATTGAAATGTATATCAAAATGACCACAATAAATCGAGTATCATTTATACTGTGACGGATTGTTCGAACGACCACCGAAAAGCCCCAAATTGCCCCCAGATGGTATCCATGGCTTAGGCCTTCTTTAAAGGGGACCAATTGGTCATCTCTTGTATTGTGGGAAGGGATATTTTGGTCCGTTTTCATTAGTATGAAAATACATTTTAATTCAAGAATGCTATTTTTGGTAAATTTGGTTTATTTTTTAGCATCCACCTATGTTTTGGTGGATGCTTATAAATAGATGTAACCTCATTGTGTAAAGGGGCTTGAAAAGTTTGGCAAAAATTGAGTAAAGTGAGGGAAATTAAGAGAGAGAAAGTCTCCTTTTAAGCTTGGTGGAAAACCCTTGACCCTTGAGAGAGATGAGAGATAATACTTTACCCATACCCCTCTCCCATATACCATACTCTCCACCCCTTGACTCCCATACACCAGTCCTACAACCATACACCACCCATACCCTAGACCATTTCATACACCATACTCACTTCAACCCATGGTCATCATTCCATACACCATACTCACTTCAGCCCATGGTCACTATTCCATACACCATACTCACTTAAATCCATGGTCACCATTCTATACACCATACTCCTTAGTCACTTAAGCCTTCATACACCATACTTCTTATCCACCCTAACCCACCTAGGCTCACTGACACCCAAACCTAGACCCTAGCCTTCCATCTTAAGCTTCGAGCCCACCTTCAAGAGCATTCAAGGGATCATCAAGGGTACACTTAGCCCCCTGACCCAAGCCATCTTTCAAGCCTAGGTAGTCGATCTTTTTTCTCTCCCCTTTTCTCTTCTCTTTTCTCTCTTCTTTCTCTCTCTATTTTTTTCTTTTTTATCTCTCTTTTTCTTTTCTTTCTTTCTCTCTCTGAATCTCTCTTTCTCATGTAAATCTTTGTCGTCTCTCTCCCCCAAAATCTCTCATCACTCTTTCTTTAATCCTCTCTCTCTATTTCAATATCTCTCACCCTCTCTCTCTCTCTCTCT